CCTCTCTGCCCCCTCTCATTCCTGCCATTCAATGGTTTAGTTCCCTCAGGCGGTCAAAACAAGATCGACTTTGTCTGCTTTGGTCTCGCCGACTCCTTTGACTGGAATCCGCTGCAGATGGCTGCGTGTGTAAACGGCACGTGGGAGGGGAGAAGCGCTTGATGTCTAGACACTCCCACAGATTTTAACTTCATGCTCCTTGGCAGCAGGTACATGTTCTTCCTCTGCTAAAATCTCCCAAGCATGTGGACAGGGCAGTTGTGGCTGAAATGGGCTTGTAAATACCTTAGATGGGATGAACGGTAAACAGGTCTCTCAGGACAGCATGCCAGAGCTCCCTTCTCCCTCACTTCTCCCTGCCACAGACAAGACTCAAAAACCGGGGGTTTAGGAGTCCTGCACACTTCTTTGCAGTCACCATAATGATGGCATCTTCACTCTCGGGCTGCCCTTACACATCAGATTAGCTAACATAACTGTTACGTGGGCTGCTAGTGTTACTGGATCAAAGAGTGGATCAGCCTTTGAAAAACTAAAGGAAACAAACACTGCCACTCCTGAGGAGGTGCAGACCTCGACAGCCTAGCAGCAGAAGGTGGAACACTATTAAATACATATGCAAAACGCAGCTCTTCTTTGTGACTACTGAGGACCATTCCTTCTGCATGGTCTCCATCCTGCCTCATAGACCCCATAGCCCAGACGTAGCAGGGACAAGCCATTGCTAAAATCTGTGGTACAAGCGTTGCAGCCATTGCCAATATATCCCACCCCTTCCTTATGCAAGGTACCAGAGATTTTCACATTCTGCAATCTTCCCCGAAACAACTGGAGATCCTCTTACACTCACCAATGTCGAGGACCCTCTGTTTAGCTGTGTGCTGTCGAGAATGCCAGTATTTCCAGTATTTCAGCTGTTCGTCTCTGTTTTTATCCTCACTGAAAACAACCATGACCACGCTCTAATAAAATCAACAGAGCTTGCGTTAGTTAATGTGTAATTCAGTCAGAAACACAAAAATTAGTATCTCCCATGTGCCTCTAATGCTGATCCAGTCACCACCCTCCCCCAGTACTCGGGTTGCAGCAGATTGCTCTTTTTCTTTCCAGTCCAATATTGCAATGCACTTAAAATCTCAGGGCAGAAGAAATGTAGTTTTAAAACAATGCAGGACCTAGGATTATGTTCTTGATAAAATTTAATTGTATTCTTAGGTTTAAGAAGTCCAAGTTGTCTTAAGTAAAAAGTGGTCATTTCAAAGTCAGAAGATCCCCAATTCCAATCCTGATCCAAGTCCAGTCTAAGTGCTGGAGTTCAGATTCCGTGTCACTCTGGAAGATGACATTACACTGTAAAGTGACGTGTTGTTATTGGAGCTTAGGCTTGCTGGCTAAAGGGAAGACATTTTCAGTTCTAGTGTACATAGTCCACCCTTCTGAGGAGCAGGACTCTTGCATACATGTGTTTGATGACAAACTCAGTATGACTATTTACTGAGCTTTTCAGTTCAAGTTCTGAATCTCCTTTGTTAAACTGTGTGATTCAAAGAAAACAGATCGCAACGTTATGCAAAACTTCACACAAGTAATAAAGGCTTTTATAAAAATCCCTGCTGTAGGCAAGCAGAACAAAAAACACAAAACAATGAAAGAATGCTCATACTAGGTAAACGGAAGTGAAAAGAAATCACAGAGGAAAAAAATTCACTTTTAAATATCCTCTTTTGTTCCCATTCTTCCTTGAACCTTGAGTCACCAAGCTCATAAAAAACACCAACAAGCTGTTTCATAAGGCAAGGAGCTGGATCACATTTGATTCATGATCACCATCATAACCCATCACATGCTCTGTGACCTTCTCCATTCCACCTATAAAAGTCGAACGTCATCACTGCGTCTTCCATGTCTAGCTGCTGCGTGGGCACGAGGCAGTACATGCTGCGGATGAGCCCCGAGTTATGCATATGCATACTGGCTGGCCAGCAGGTATGTGCTGGCTGGCCAGCTGATGCACTAACCAGAATTGGCAGTGCAGACTGCATTAATCTTTCCCTCTATGAACCACTTACATGGAACTTGTAGAGGTTTAATACCTTCAAAACCTCTTTCCCCTCTGGAATGGGCAATAAATTCAACAGTTGCTTGGCTGGGGGCCTGGCAAACAGAACGTGATCATGAAAGTTGCGTGTGGTTTCACAATCTTCTGTAAACTGTACATTCTCTAAAAGAAATGGTCTCATCTCTCCTTTACAGTTTCCAACCTTCTGCTACCACAGTTTCCAACCTTCTGCTACCACAGCTTCAAAACTCATGTGGCCATGCAGTGAACAAGACTTAGGAGGACTGGTTTTCTGCCAGACCAGTGAGGTCCTAACTCCTGTTTCAGCTGTACAAGTGCTAGGGATGGCACCACAAAGGGGGAATGAATGGGTGGCTGGCAGGGAGAGAGACTTTTCAGCAGCAGAGAAGTCTTACATCAGCTTCAGCCAACAACAAAATGCTATCATCAGCCTCACATCCTAAGGAAACAAGGCTAAAAATTAACTGCTATTCAGGTTTACAAATCATTGCCTCTTTAGGAAGAGTCTCTCTAAACTTCGTGTATGATAGAATCATATAGGTTGTTGCCTGCTTCACTGCTCATGTTGACTTCTGTTGGTTCCTTTGACTAAAGTCACAACATTTTGATGGTACTTCATTTATTTGGATGGAAAAACTTTTGCAGCCTCATACATATGCAGCTCTTCCAGCTTCAGGGTGAAATTTGCAGAGCAACTCTGAGGCTCATTGTTCATTCCAAGGTTACTGGTTTAGGATTTGCTTACTCAAAAACATTACCAGGGAAATCAGAAAGCCTGTTCACTAGGCAGATGTTGCTGAATACCCAAGCTCCAGTTCTACCCTGTGGAATCTAAGATGCAAATCATCCATTTTGTCATAGTTCTGGGTGAATATAATCAAGTGAAAGCTCACACTTACACACTGTAAATGATTTAAAATTTATGTCACAAAGGATGGCTTCAACTCTTCACATTTCATCTGAAACGCACTGGAAGGCAGCGGCTGAAGTGCATGAGTGAGTGAGGATGGACTCACATAGTAGATGTAGCAGTTCTGAATTTTTTTCTTTAATCATGGCAATGATTAAAGTTTACCAATGTCAAGTGCAACATCTGTGCAATTACCACACTGCCAAACCATAAACTGAGGCAGATATTTATATATAATAAACCTGAAAGATCTCACTTTGAAAAAAAACAGACCCCAAAATATTTGAGACCACCATCAATATTATTCTCCTGCCTTTACACTAGGCATAAGAGTAAGCTTGCTCTGCCCAGTCTCACAAGAAAAAAAATAATTAAAACCCAACCAACCACAACTGCATTTATCTGCAGAGCTCCATTCCCATCTAGGAAAGAAACTGGACTATACCCTGACTTTGCTGATGGGATGCCGGAAACATTTGTTGTCACCCGTCTCACTCAGGGTGATGGCGTAGAACTGTCCTTTGTTCAAGTAGGTCATGGGCCCCTCCCCTTGCTTTTGACGCAGAGATTTGGTAGCTTCTAGCGTATACTGAAAAGTGCTGCTGAAAAGACAGGGAGAGAAACACAAACAAAATCGGTATCACTTTTGCTTTTTCTCTTTGTCCCCATCTACTACATATTTCATGCGTTGTACAAGCAAGGCATAAGAAGCTAGTAATAAAATTCCAGGAAAAGGTCACACAGGTATTTAAAAATGCAATTTTCTTTTTTTTCAAGTTCATCAGATCTGGCAATCAAGCGTAAAACTATCTGGACTGTAAGTCCCTTGAATCAAAGCCTACATCTTTACTTTCTCTGAAAAGAACCATCATGAAGTACAAGACTACGTACCCCACAGTAAGAATGGCAAATACCAGAAGGGAATTCAGTATGATTTGCAGGAAATCAGCTACCTCCACAGACATTTAACTTAGAAGTGTCACAGAAAGAGGAATTTTAAAAGAAAAAAAAAAACACCAACAAACTATAAACAAACAAACCAACCAACCCTGAATAAAACTTGGTGCAAAAGATGGACGCAGAGAATGGAAAGTCCAAGTGCTACTTTCAAAGGCACAGGGCAGAAAAATGTCCCCAGAAGGGACAGGAGGTTCATCTGTTTAAAGACAACATGCAATCAAGGTTTTTACAAGCCTTCTTTTCAAAATTAATCAGACAGAACAAAGTACCTACATCTAGTTGTATCTGCAATCAAATAAACTTCCTTAAAAAAAGATAAAAATTAGAGAAAAAGCGAGTTTGCTCTTGTGTTGGGAGTCAGATTTTAGAAAAGATCCTCCTTCACAGGAGAACCTTCCACCTTTAAAACAGTTCTCAAACCACAAAAAGTTAAAGCTCCATTAACTAATGAACTGGTAGCTGAACACAGTTCTCACAGAGCCTCTTCCAGCTGCCTCCTCCAGTAACGTTCTTGAACAATAATCCAATCAAAATGATGCCTCCAGCTCATCACATTCTCTTAAATGAAAAATAATGTTAACCTTGCAGAAAAAACCTGCTCTTCAAACTGCGTTTGGTCACCACAGGAAGCTTAATGCAAGGAGTCACCTGTAGGATGTCCTCACAAATTGGAGGTATGGGGGAAGCATTTTCACAAAGGTCCTAATTCAGCAACATATTTAAGCAGTGCTGGAGTAGAACCAAAAGGACGGGTATGTTGGTCCAAAACAATAGTGTATCCTTAACTTTCTAGCTCAAGCAAATATTCTGGATTATCATAACACTGACATAGCAATACGGTAATAAGGGGAAAATAAAAACATTTTTAACTATCCAACGGAAAAAAAGAATCACTAAAATACATTAATAATAATAACATTTAAATTCCCACTTGAAGAGAAAGCAGAAGAAAAGAAATAACCTGATCCACTGTCTTTCCATCCAAATGAAGAAGTTTCAGACAGTTTAGGACCAATTATTTAGTTTAGTATCAATCATTCAATCAAATGAAGTATTTCTTAGCTTATAAATGGAAATCCAGTCATTTTCCTAGTTGCTTAAAAGTTACAAGCAAAAGTTACAAAGCAAAACTAAGGTAAAAAGCAAACACTAACCTACCCAACCCAGTGATGGCAGTACTAGTGCTTCCCAACAACGCAGTTGCTGCCAACAGGAAGGCTCTCATGCAGTGGGAAGGCAGCACGAAGGGGACTGCAGTCCCCTCCGCTGCCGCCCACCGTGGTGTGCGCTGCCGCAGTCCCTCTGTCCTGTGTGCAGGGGGAACAGGGGCTCTGTTGACACTGAAAAGCGGTACATCCCCATCCGAGCAGACTGGAGAAGCAGAACCACTGGTGCTGCGGACCCAGCACCCATCCTGCTGCATATGCTTGTCCTATGGATTGACGCCCATTAGCGGTGGGGGCACGTTCTCTGATTTAGTGTCACACGAAGGGACTGCAGGTTGCATGCTGCAAGACGGCTGCGTGACGCATACCAAAGCACACTGAGTGCCCAGGGAGATGCACCTCAAAACCTCCCAACAGAGAGAAGGTCTAATGAGGATGTGTGCTGAGAAGGGCTTAGGATGAACCAAAGTCAGACACACGGTGTCTTAACAGACCTGCCGACAGTCTGCCACGGTCTGGTCTTCTGTTTCCTGGCATTCTGTATGTTTCAGAAAGACGCCAAAAAATGTAAATCCCAGACACACTGCACCTGGCCAATTTTAGTCTCTGTATGGTATCACTTGGGAATTTTTTTCTTGTTCCCAGATGGCAATCAAAGTGTGCCCTATAGCAGGAGGATTACTATCACCCTTAAAACTTATTGCAGTCACTCAAATTATTATACTATTCTGAATCTCACCATTGGTCTTAACTAAAGACCTGTGTAGTTGTTAAGGGATTTTCTATCGGGCTTCCAATTGCTTTCATATTCACCACTTCTTTTTTTCAATCTGAAGTTTTCATTTCTGAGCACCTACCACTTCCATGTAACTTTCAGAAAAGATGTACTTCATTTTTCTTAATGAGCATTTGGAGGTTTTGTTCTAATGTGCACCTGGGCCATAGCATGAAAGACTTAATGTCTGAGAACTGTTAACAATACCAGTGCCTCAGGATTCAAATTCATAAATATCCAGTGTAGTAAGTGAGCAGTCTTTGCTAAGTATCTGTTCCATATGTACTACCTATATGATGACTCAGTTCTGAGCTCACTGTCGTTAAGGATTGTTTTAATATTCCTCAGAAAAAAGAGCAAGCTGTAAGGAACCTCCACTACAGAAACAGTCATATGCCTACTGCAGGAAAAATATGTAGGCATGTTTCTGTTTCTTAAATGAGAGTAATCTCTCATATATAAACAGAACTGTTCACAAGCATGAAATGAAGCGTTAGCTTGTAAACTTTACTGATCACAGCCTTTATTAGTTAATGCAACTCTGCACTGTTTGCCCATTCTACACATGCATTTTTCTGTGCTTAGGGTGAACATCATTCCTTTCAAACTTCAATTTTCTAAACTTTTAAAAAAACTTTTTAGGATTCTAAGGGTTTTTTCCACACGGTTTATAATAGATACTTTGTTTATACTATTATTTTATAGGTAAACATGAAGTACTATAACAAGCAGTGTAAAAAGACAGAGGGTTTCACAGAAAATCTACTAGGAGTAACTGAAAAAAACAGAAGGGAAAAATAAAGATGGGAATTCCATAAGGTTGATGGAGCCAGTTCAACCATCCTGGATATCTGACTTGTGCATCCTGCCATCCTGAAAGGTAGGGAAGATTTTCCATGACCTGGCTGTCAAAGCTATGCCCTGTTACCTGGGGGATCTCTTTTAATAGTTTTAATCTCACATATCTCCAGGGGGCTTCAGAGGAGTTACTAACTTAAAACAATGCTCAGGGAAGTTAATAGATGAAGACATAAACTAGTCAAACATGAAAGCCAACATGCGCAGGAGAAGAAGGTGAGAGTGATGCCAGGCAGCGTCAAGGGAGCCCTGCAGGTGCCCCAGGATGATGAAAGAGAGGGTGGGAAGTGGACCCAGGCAGCCTCTGCTTGATACATTCCTACGTGATGCCAGTCAACACATTTCAAAGCTTATGCCGTACCTTGTTTGTTCGTAAATATATTCCTCAGCCCCCACTGACACACTGCGATACTTCTGAAAAATAAAAACAACAATTAAATATAGTTTGATACAATCAAAATGCAAATACCAACAAAAGTAGAATTCTGTTTATTTAAGGACCCCTCAAAAGAAACCATCAACCATTTAAAACTCAAAATCCCTAAACACTGGAGTGGACCCTTCATGGTCTTTACACTAGAACTAACAGAGATAATTAATTTACGTCAAGCTTTTAAGAGATTTTCATAACCTAACTGCTACAGGAATGTAGCTGAAAAGCATCTTCTGCCTTATTAAACTCCTTGCCTACACATTAATATATTCTAAAACAAGCCTGTAAAAATATACCCCATCCCAAAGATGAGTAGATTTTCAAATGAAATCATAGTTTTCCTAGAGACTTCACTTTTGGTTTTCTTTTGCTTCATTTAAAAATGTGTGTGGTCAGCTGTCCTTAAGGCCTACAATGAAATGCTGACAAAAATTTAGACTGCTATCCCATCTATCTGGAATAGGAGCAGTGATGCAGGCTAAGAAAGTATTTTACCTTCAACAGAAGATTCTGTTTGAACAAAACGCACACTTTACCAGATGAAAGGAGACCTACAGTCACTCTTTAAAAAACGAAACACATCTATCAAAAAAAAAAAATTACATCAAGAGGTGGAATTCTGAAAAGATTAAATCTTTTTGCACAGACCGAGCAACAATTTGTACACTGTCTTCCCGAGCAAATAAGCCCATTCGTACTCCACTACATAAGCCTTGCTGCTTCTTCTTGGCTTGCCTTTTCCCTGAAACATGTTTTTGCTGATGTGTCTCTGATTCACTGATGGATCATTACATTTAATCTCCAGGATTTGTGATCACCAGTTAGCAATTAAAAGCTGTTTTGTTTCCAGAAGTGTCAAGTCAGGCAATTTTGAAAACAGTTTTTAATTTTACCTTATGCATAACTGTGCCACAACAAATATCCAGTCAGATACTAGTTAAGTTCAAAGGTATTAGGTACTGGTTAGGAATATTTCCCGAAGATCAAAAGTCAAGGATCCATGAGCAGTAGAATAGACAAGCTAAACGCTCAGAAATCTAACATCTGAGGGGTATTACAATAAAGATGGTCCCATATTAACATGCTAGTCACATTTTATATGAAGGCTAGAAGTTGACATTGTAAAAAAACATTCAATTTGCTTACCTATCCTCGAAAATGTTGTCTATACTATAAAGGAATAAATTAATCACAGCTAAATAAGGATACGAAATAGATGAGAAAGGTATATTTATATAATTGTTGAAATTGTACCCAAAGAACATAGCAAGTGGTGGCCTGAAGCGTCTGCTACCACAGGGATCTATAAAAACTCAGCACTCCTTCAGTGTAACAGAACTAAGTCACTCAGTAAACATTTTGAAACGATGTCTGAATACGTACTCATAATGTGTTTAAAAACTGAGCAGGTATTAGAGCAAATCTACCGCAGCCAAACCCAGCCATTCTCACCAAATTAATAGGAAAACTGGTAAGAACAACTGTATTCCTACTTTAAATACTAATTTAGCACAAGTTTCTCTTTTGGTATGTTTTGACATTTTACCTTATGGTCTCTCCCCATCTGCTTCATACAGCTGTCCCTACACAACAGCACGTGGCTGGAGAAGCAGTCAGAGTGCCACAGGGGCGAAGCCCATCCTGGGATTTAGGTAGTTGAGAAAAAACACAGGGATAGGCTAAGTGTTGAGTGAGGCTGCAGCAGGGCGGGAAAGCTCTTCTGCTCCCATGCCACACACATGTGAGCATTTGGGGCTCAAAGGCCACTAACAGTGGCACAGACCTCAGCTAACAGCTACAGATGGGGACCTAGTTAAAGTTAGTTGTTCAGTCTCCCAGTACAATTAATAGGAGAGGTGAAGATGGAGAGGAGTGAATGCACCCGGGAAACCGTTCCACCCACTTTTGGCAAACAGATTTGAACTGTCTTTCTCCACAGACTGCAGAGAAAGCCTACCTGAAGTATCATACCCTGTTATTAACCAATCATTTTAAAAAATATGTAAGAAAATATGACCATTGCAACAAAATTACCCTAACACGGAGTCTGGGATTCAAGGCCAACCTATAGATGTAAATTCCCTTTTTACCTCCAAGTTTAACAACTTTGCATATTTGACAGCACTTTGCACAGCACAGACTGACTGTTTGGGTGGCTCTCAGCAGCGCGTCGCACAACCAACCAACAAACGGAATCACTCAGCTACAGCACCAGGGGATGGGAACAGTACCGCTGGACTCCCATAAAAAGCCATTTACCAGTAACCATGAAAAGTAGCTGAAATGATGTGATTTGATAATGCAGAGCAGTGTTTCTAATCCAAGGTTTGATCTTACTGATTTTTCAAAGGGAAGCTAGATTTATTCATTAATTACTCATTTAGTTGACGTAAATGTGTTCTATATCTGAAGATTGATTTCACCTACAGACATCCTGATCTATGATGCTTCTGTGGACACAATTTACTTTTCTGTAATACATATACACAAACACACAGTACATTTCTTATATATTCAGTGAGAGTAACTCAGCCTTAATGTAGCTTGCCTTGTACTTTTGTTACATTTACAATGTCATAGAATTGGAGGAGAAAAATCTGAGGAGAGTTCTACCACATAGTATCTCTAATTATTTGCAGAGATACTGTCAGCTTTAAATAATTTTTACCTTTCTACATTGCTGGTTTGTTTGCATTATTCTGCAGCAGGCAAAAGCAGCCAGAGGGTACTCACCATATTAAAGCTGACTGTATAATTAATTTGCCTCAGCATAGTTACAAGGTATCTCCTTTTCTCTCCTCCTCCTCATTCCCCAGACATGTATACCCACCCAAGCCTTTCCCTGCCTCTTAACTTCTCCATTCCCCTCTGGTCACCTGATTCTCCTACTATTTCTCACTTGCCCATGTTGCTGAGTACAGCTTAGTGCAACAGACAGCTTCTGAATAAATTAGTTGGGTTTATCTAGCAGCAGTGGCTGACACTGCTCATCTGCGCTTTCAGAACAACATTAAGAATTTCCCATTTACAAAGTGGCTGCTGTTTCTTACTGTTATGAATGGCTCTGAAGGCAGATCTTGTTAATGGAAAACAGAGCTTTCAGAATGGCAACTATCCTCTACTTGACACAATATCCCAGAAGACAAATGACCAGTATCTATTGTTCTCAGAGTTTCCAACAAACAACTTTAAAACTGTCTTCTGAAATGCCTCATGATGCTCCTTTATAATCAGAGCACAGACTGACAGGAACACAGCTAGGAGCAGAGATGAATTTGTTGAAACAAGCATCACCGTTCTTCTAATGGCTCTTGCGGGCAGCTCAAATCTCCTTATCTTGTTTACAAACTCAAATCTCCTTATCTTGTTTACAGCTTTTTTATTGAGTTCTTAGATGCTAACTTGAGGTGAAAAACTTACTTCTGTTCCTCCATCTTTGAAGGTGTCGCTGTATGTACTGTCTGGAGTACTGCGCTGGTCATCTTTGAGATAATTTGTGTGGGGAGCAATGTTGGACACCTCGTACGGTTCAAAGATAACCCCTCGCTGCTCCTCGTTTTCTCCTCTTGCATAGTGTGCTTGTGGGGTTATAAAAACAGGGGTGAACTCCTCTGCTTTAATCACAGTCACTCCAGTCCCTGTGATGGGTGTCGAGCTCCCAGACACATTTGTGTTGTATTCCCTTTTGGATGACTCCAAAGGACCTTGGTTCAAGGAAAGGTTAACCGGCACTGTCTTCAGGACTTGCACGCGGTTCTCTCCCCCACTTAAATTACTCTGAGCTTCCGTGGTATTAAGACAATTTCTGTGAGACAAAACCAAAAACTGTTATGAACTGTCCTGATAGAGTAAATCTCCTCCTTAAATAGCTTAATGTTCTTAGATGGCAGGAAAGAGCTCTTTCAACTCTGATAAGCCATTGCCACAATAAATAGTACACTAACAAATACTAGGCAAAAGATATTGTGAGGCA